TCAGCAATCCCTCACACTAAGCATGCTTGTAGCGACAGTGGAGAGGAAAAACTCCCTTTGAACAGGAAGAAACCTCCAGCAGACCCAGGCTCAGTGTGACTGGGGTTAAGGGTTAAGGAGGCAAAAGCAGATAAACTAAATGGAAAATAGAAGCAGTGATCTACAAATACTTTCTATGTTAGAAAGGCTAATGGTAAACTAGCTCCACAGGCTGCTCCATCTGGTAAATAAAACATTTAATCAGATCAGCTCTTAGCCAGTGTTCATGTTAACAGGAGGAGGAGAGAACATCCAGTTAGTTACAATAAAACCTGAGCCCACGGCTATAGGAGAGAAACAGGACTAAACACTGACATTCATTTCTGTTGTTTTCTTCTTATCATCACAAGTTTTTTGAAACAATTGCTATCCAAAAGGAATATTATAATGTTGAAAAATTGTCAGTTAATATTTGGATGCTAAACAAACATAATAAACTGCCCATTTGAACAGTTTACTTCTCTCAAAATGAGATATGTCATTTTTACCAAAATCTTTGGATAATAGTGCATCATCCATCCTTCTGTCCAAAAAAACATCTGTCTGGTTAACCTGCTGCAGGTTTTACTGCATGCATGGTTTCAAAAAAAGATCTGATTTCACGATGCAACAGTAACAGGCAGAGGGCAGGTTATCTGCCCTCTGCCTGTTACTGTTGCGTCTGCAAAGCAGAGCTTTCTTGAACTATTTGAGATCTTCCTCAACAGAAGAAAGACTGGGAGGAGTAGCAGTGATTCAAGTTATCAAATTTGGTCATCAGATATCTTACATGGAGTTGCATACATTCCGTTTATAGGACTATTAAAATTCTGTTATTTTATTACAATGATTTTTAGTCCATTTTTATTCTGATTTCAGGTCATTTTTCATTAAACATTTATTTATGTGTGTGGTATTTTACACTTTTATTTAATTCTAAATGTTTTTAATAAATAAAATGTAATATTTGTTGTTTGTGCAGTAGTTGCTGTTGCACCACTGATCATGTGTTGCACATTCCTGTTGCAAATAACCCTTTTACTGTCAATTCATAGCATACTACTTTACTTTTATTATTTCTGGCTCCACCACATGAATTACTATATTGGATGATGTAATCAGCGCTGCCACAGCTGCAAGGAGTTTATTTTAGGTGTTTGAATGTTCTTCATCTGGATAACGTTTGCAGAAATGCTCCCTTTTTTTCCTTCCTTTTTCTTCATCGGTCCATAAACATCTAAGTTTGGTGAACTGGCTGCAGGTTTGCGCACACATGGCTTCTGTGTTTCTGCGTTGCTCTTTGGTGTAAAACACATTGGGACGTCCCTCTGATGGACGGTTGACCCGTCCAGGTTTTATTCCGTCTCTTCCCCACTCACCACTGGAGAATGGTACATAGAAACATAATCATGGGTGGCGTTAAAACAATAGATGGGTGTTTATTTTAACATTATGTTAACAATGTGGGAATGAATGGGAAGAAAAAAGATCTAACAATTAAAAATGAGTGTTTAATATTTTACAGAGCTTGTTTTGAGTAATTTCTTTTCAGTGATACCAAAGACTTTAAGTTAATGTCGTTTTCTGCGTCCCTAATATGACCTCCTTCTCTTTCACAGGGGGGATATTTGAGTCCGTCGAAAGTGGGCCTTCTGGTGCTGAGGAGCTAGCCTTCAAATTTGCTTTAAACACAATCAACAGGAATAGAACCTTACTGCCAAACACTACCCTTACCTACGACATCCAAAGGATAAACATCTACGACAGCTTTGAAGCCTCCAGGAAAGGTATGTTTGGGGTTTATTAAAAGTTTATTAAAATTTCAGTGTATCAAACACACCATTCCCCCATTAGCCCCTGTGATGGCACATGCTAAAATAAAAGCAAATAACTTCAATCCCAACTATTTTTGCTGCACAAACCAGTACCAACGTAGCACAGTTGATTGACACCAAATGTATTTATTTCTGCAAATTTGAGCAGCGCCATGGGAGTGGTTGATCTCTGATGACCCCTGGAGAAGCACAAATTAAAATATTTGCTGCACAAACATGGCCGAGGTGACAGACAGCAATTTTGTCTGATTTCATAAAAGTGGGGGGGCTGGCTGACCTTTTGACTTTTAACCTTCCATTAATATCTTCAAAGCCAAAGCAGCACAAATGCCCTTTTTGCTGCAGAAACAGAGTCGAGTTAATGACACCCACCTTTAAAGACCTCTAGAAATATTGAATTTTATCTTTAAAATTATAGCAGCACAAACTAAATTTTTTGCTGCACAAACTGTTGACACTAATTTTGTCTGATTTGAAGAAGGTGGGGGGGGCACTTTCCTTCTTTTCCAATCAGTTCCTTTCTCCTTCATAACCAGTCCAGGCCTGGGGAGGAAAACATCTCTTTTTTCATAAATCTTCCTATTTTATCATCGTTGGTATTGCTTGGTTCTACTCCTCCTGCTGGGTGTAATGCTGCGTTCACACCAAAAGTGTTTTGAGCATCAAAAACGCTTAAACAGAGAAGTTTGGACACTGGATCAAACTGTGGTCAAGTGTCTTCATTGCTCTGGCTGCTCGACGCTCCGGTTGTTTTACTGCTCTGTTCGTTA